ATTAATAATGATATATATATATATATATATATATATATATACCTTTAATTTTTAGCATTCCAAGTGTAACTTGAAATAAAACTATAGATCCATCAAAAAGAAACATATCCCATATACGAAGCAATATTTTTTTATGTACAACAGATGCAAATAAAGTTAAGAACCAATGTAAAGATATTAAACTTAGTTCTATATCATGTTGAACTAAAACATGGTCTATATCAGGAAGATAATTAGCCACCAATGTTCGAAGTACTCTTTGATCAGCTTGAATACCTATAATAAATATTTTTAAGTTAAAATTAATTAATTTTTATATTAATTTATTAGTTATATGCATTATTAATTTATTACCTAATAATGTTGAAGAATAGTAAGATGCTGGCAATAAATCTTCTACTATTGTAGCCATCATCCAAAAAGTATCTTCCTCTTCTAATAATAATAGTAGAGAAGCTGCTATTGTTCCTGTACCTTGACAGTATCTTAAAAAATAAATAAATAATATAATCATTGAAGAATATTTTAATATTATTTTATAAAATATAATTACCCAATATCAGGATATAACCAAGCAAGAGCACGCATAATACGTCTTAAACGTGGTATTCCTGTACTATGAAGATGACTAAAACATGCATTGGCTGGCATAATACGTAATAAATCCTTCTCAATTTGTTTATTAGTCACTAATGCATCATTACTTGATGCTTTAACTATATCTTTATACATTATCTCAGAAGAACATTTTTTTTGAAGTGCTCCTGTAATATAAAATAAAATTAATATTTATTTTATAATGGATATTTAAATATATTATAAAATATATACTATAAATTTGGAATATTAAAAAAATTGTAATTGAGTGTAAAATTGTAATGTACCTGACATTCTCATCCAAATTTGTGGTCTAAGAGAATGAGGTACACCATGATGAACCATATCCCGCAATTTATCTGTACGTGGTAATCTTGTATCCATATTTTGCCAAGAAAATTCAGTTACTTCTTTATTATGACTGAATTCTAAGAGAGCAACCCATTGTAATCTAAGCATATAAAAATTACATAATTATTTTTTTTTAATTTCATAATTAATTCATTTTTTTATTTTATTCTCTCTATACCTATGTTGAGGATCTTCAACAAATGGAATACCTAATAATTTTTTTGAACTTTGTTCTGGGCCATCTTCTTCTTCTACACGAAATCCAAATTCATCAAACCTAATATATATTATATTAAATTATTATATATTGAAATAATATTCTTTATTAAGAAATTTATAATAAATACCTATACTCAGGTTGTGAATTAGGATCATCAGGTTGATTTAATTTAGCTAAAATATCTTGAGGCCACATAGATGGAGTTAAAGCAGAAAATGGACCTCCTGGTGCAGGAGATAAAATTTCTCCACATAATCCTGTAATTTCTATTTCAAATTCATCTTCAGAAGCAGCAGTTTCTAATTTTTTCTAAAATATAAAAATATTGAATAATTTCATATCAATAATATGTTAACAGATGTAATTTTTTTTTTATTAATATTATTAAAGTTTATTATTTTATAAAACTATATGTATTTTTATAAATATCATATTTTAATGTTGCATTTATTTGTATAAATAAAAATTAATTAAATTAAAAATACATAAAAATTAAATAAATACTAACATTATAGTCTTCTTTACCAATATAACCTTCATGATCACGAACATTAAATAATGATTTAGCAATATCCATTTTGTGAAATTTCTAATTTTAATATTAATTATTTTATATATATCTTTTTCTTTTTTATTTTACATTATATTATTTTGTAGATATTATTATATTTATCATGTCCAAAAATATTACTCTATATACAGCGTTAACAGTACCAATACTATTATATTTATCTCGCCATCTAACGAAAGTAATGATAATTAAACCAATACGCAGCAATAAAAATATTTTATAATAGTCTATACAGTATGTTGGATAAGAAATTTTTCAATATAGTCAACATTTGTGTAGTTTATTTAATAAAAATTAAATATTGATTTATAATTATATTTTATTTTATTTTTCAATAATTCTTTGCTATTATTTTTATCATGTATTTAACGTTAACAAGTATAAAATTGATTGTATATATTAAATATTTATTATAATATAGAATTATAAATTAGAAAGAAAATAAATTTATTTTAATGCTTTATATATTATCATATAATATTTTATATAATAAGTTAATAAAAATTACAATTTTTTATCATACATTTATCATATTAGAATTATTATTTAATATTTTTAATAGAAAATAAATTAATTATATAAAATTAATTAAAATTGTATAAAAAATAAATAATTTTTATATTTATTTTAAACATGACGCTATAATTTCGGTACACAAACTTATAATTTGCATATAGCAATAGGTATACTGTATGGAATAAGCGGGAAAAGTAATATTCTGAATCTAGGGTTTTTCGTTAGTATTCATATATCGAGCTGCGAATTGGACTTTACCGCCGACATTATAGATAGAAAATGAATCCGATTGGGCAGCGTGGCACGAAGGCCACATCCGGCAGCAGCACTGCAGTATTGGTCGATCCCGCTTCAGCAACAGCGAAGTTGGTTGAATTTCCTATATATTATTGATAAATAGCTCGTGTTGCTCGTGTGACTTTTACCAAAATCGACATCGGTATTCGTATTTAAAGAGAGAAAGTCTATACTGTCGGAATCACGTACATACCGAGAGACGCAAAACGGTTAGGAGTACGCGCGTTGCTTGTAACGAGAAATCAGTCAAGGGATTATCGTGCATTGGGTGTGACGGACATTTATATCCGTGCGAATTGCATGAAAGTCGTGTCGTGTTGCGTAGTGCACAAGAACATTCGATTATTCGTGATTCTCATGGGTGTATGTGCGATTATGTCGAGCGCCCCCGAAGTGAGGTGAGCGTTATAGGAGGGGAAACTGCCCAAAAGAAGCAGCCTTCGAATCTGTTTTTTGCTCCGCCATTGTACGCTACAAGAGTACCGCGAAGGAAGCCGCTTGCCTCGTTTATCCGTGTGTTCTTGTTCGACTACATTTTTTTCAACTGATCGCTGTTCAAGCGTGTAAACGCGCCTACGTCCGCGTTAACGCACGTCTCGTGGTTACGCTATTCACGAGGCGAAGCACGTTAGTGTCTTCTCTCTCTTTCTCTCTCTCTTTCTTTATTGCGCGTTCTCTTTCTTTTTCTATCTTTTTTTGCTCTTTCTCGATATATACATACACACATACATACACACACATACAATTCTCATTTTCTTTCTCACTCTCTTTCCCTTCTGTATTATATTCTCGATGCCTTCGACATCTCTACGGAAGTCGCATGTGTAAAAGTTTTTCGCGTACGTGGACATTGACGAAGACGCCAAGTGATTTGTATACTAGTACCTTTGCCGGGGATACAAATCTTGCGCGTCATTATGCAATAGACGTGCAGCTGACGAGAAAGAACTGCCTCCTCTGTTGAGGACGAAGACGGCGGTGGTGTTGTGCGGCATGTTTTTATCTTTGTTTTTTAATTCTGTGCCACGACGAGGAAACGCTGTCGTTGCCGCTACCGCCGCCGCCACCACTGCTGCTGTTTTCTATATTTTGCGACGAGTAATCACGTGGGAATGCGTCAAACGATGCAAGCATACCTGTTATTAATCTCTACAACATATATTTGGTAGTGATATTTAGTGTAATTATGTGTGATATTCTATATCATAATACCGAACCTAAATTTTTACTTTTGAATATATATTTTCCTTCTATCTTCAATCTTTTTTCCTTTACTTGACACATTTTTCTTTTTCGTTATTTCGTTAATTTCGTAAAAGTATTCAAAATTTTCTTTCATGTATACTATCTTATTTTATGTATACCATCACATTCCAATTTTTTAATAACGTGTTGTTATCGTTCGCCGGCAGCCACTTACCGCCTCAACTTACTTTACGTTCGAAGTTCATCGCTCGAAAATAGTGATCCAATATACTGAATTATATCTTCGTGGGAAGAACGATCTTGCCTTTCTGACGTTCCTTTTGGTTTACTTTGTGTGTTTGGATGTTGCCTTTACAAAAAATATCGCTCTGAAAAATCTGCGATTTTGAACGTGCTTCTTTTTTGCAAGCAAAAAATATAAGGTAAGCAGAATTTCGTGTTCTTATTTCTTTATTAAATTAAGTATTCTGAGCTCTTTTTTCTTGTTTATATATTTGAAATAACGATTAGTTTATATAATATTAATCAATGGTACATATACTATTGATATTAATTACTTGATTAAAATTGATTTTATTTTTAATATATAATAATACGTTAGTATAATCTTTTTATTATCATTTATTCTACATATATATTTTATTATTATTTATTCTACATATAATATATAGATTATGATATTTATTTATTATAACTTATTTTTTATATAGTTTTTTTATTGTACTTATTTAATAATGATTAATAGGCACTTTATAAACATATGAATGTTGGAAAATAATTAATATTGCTATTTAATGTATAATAATATAATTTTTATATTATATAATGTAATAATATAGTATTTTTTTAAATATAAATATATTTTCTATATTATGAATTATATATTTCTAGATATATTCATTTTTATTTTTGTACATATATATATATTTTTTTATATACTATTTTATATACTATAAAAGTTCATTTTTATTATTTATTAAATAATTGAACATTATTTTTATTATAATTGCAATATATATCTTAGAGAATTAATTTTTTAAAATATGTATTGTTACATAGATTAATTTTATTGGAATTAAAATAAAATAAGATTTTAAAATATTTGAAAAAAATATTTATTATAAAAATATTCATTTTGTATAATTTATTTTACAGGTTAATGTTATGAATTGGTTCAAAGCACATAAATGAAACAAAAATGAAGAAATTAAACACAATGGAAATTATTGTTGAAACAACATAATATTTAATATGGAATGAATGAGAAAAGAATTTATGGTACAAGAGAAAAAAAAGACAAAAGAAAAAAAGAAATTATATTGAAAGATAACAATACAAGTGCAGGACAATAAATTAGTAATGGATGAATGGGAGTGAGCACAGCACATGTGAAGTGTAGGTGTGGGTGCGTACGCACGTGGGAGCCTCTGGATGTCGAGGCTGCAGCACTGGCAGTGTCAGTGGCAGTGATGGCCCCTGCTCTGACGGAAGGTGGTCCTCAAAAGCCTGAAAATTTGCTCCCTTCCCTTCCAGCTGGTGGATTTCTTTCCCCAGAGCAGGCTACGCAGGTGTGTCAGAATCGTGAAATTCTGGCAAAATTTGTTGTTTCTGCAAACGTTCAACCATCAAAGATCGACGAGCAGTGTTTACATGGTATCTCTAAGGATCTCATTCGTGATGTCATCAACTCGAAATATGCCAATGATCTTGATAGCTTGTCTACATTTACGCACGGATCTGACTTGATTACAAAGAAAGTACTAATAAAGGAGGACTGTGAACAACTGGACATTCTGGGCAGTCCAGAAAAAAAGGTGACTGATACTATAATGAACGACCCATCTATGGGTGATCAAGCGGACAATATGGGTTTCTTAAAATCAAGCGCAGACTTGCCTTTGGTGGGCTCAGAAACAGCAGGAGACAATAAAAATCTGGATGTGGATCAAATAATGGCCTTTGGTAGCGACATAACTACAGATAATGAACAATGTAATATTAGTAATGTTGGAGATATTGGGCAAAATGTTGAGGAAATTTTACAAGTAATTAAATCCATTGAGGATGTGGAAAATGCAGAAAACATATCTGCAGGTAGTAGTGAACCAGTCCAAAGTACAGTTGATGGAGTTGAAATGTTTTCTATGCCTGAAGAAGGATTTTCATCTTTTGAAAGAGATTTACTTGATGTTGATGTTATAAGTATTTGCAATATTGCTGATGCAGTGGACCAACATAAAGTGAATACTTTAAAGTTACAGCAAGATGTTGCCCAAAAACAACACGAGAGTGAAAGGAAATGTGCATTTTTATTAAGAAGACTGAGAAAGCTTCAAGCAAGAATAATAGGTAGGCATGTTGCTGAAGAAAATACTGGAGTTCTTGAACTTGCTCATCATGGAGTGAAAAAATATCTTTTTCAAGAATTAGTTAATATCAGTTCTAAATCCAATGTTAGAAACTTTCCTGAAATTAGTAGTAGTTTGAGTTCCTTTTTGCAAAAAATTGAAAAAATGTGTGTTGCTCAGAGTAATAGTGTGAATCGTCAGCGATTATGTTGCCGATATTTTGGTGATGGATCACGTGATAATTTGAGTAGTACTTCCGGTAACAGCAACCGTCAATCAGTGTTTGGTACACCTCAAGTTAAAATTAAAGGTGAAGAAGTAGAAAGTGTGGCTGGACCTTTAGCCACACAATTACATGTTGTGGAATCTAATCTTGACTCCGATTGTACTGCATCCAGTAGTGGTGGAGAAAGTTGTGATGAAATGCAGACATTTAACAATCCACATCAACAAAGTATATCTATGTGAGTTTTTATATTTTTTATCAAAAAAATTAATTTTTAATTTTGGGACCATTCTATTTATTTTATAATTTTAATAGAATGGAAATGTGATATAAAATTAAAATTAAATTAGTTTATACAGTTTTCTTCTATATTCTTATATTCTTATAATATTTCTTATGAAATTTATTATTGATATTTTGTTTTAACATTTATTCTTAACATATCTTTATTCCTGAAAAATATTTAAATTTATAAAACCGAATAATATTTTTGGTCGGTTTTAAAATTTTATTTAATAATATTTAATATAATATCTTATATATTTTTATAAGTATATATTTATATGTTGATATTTAATATAGTTGTATATTTTTTGCAAAAATAATTATAAAAATGCATAATAAATATATGTTAATTAACAAATAAAATATTTTTAATTTTAATTTAAAATAAATCAATATAAGTATATTTTTTAAAATTAATTTTAGATTTAAAATTTTTTTAAAAATTTAAATTAATTAATTTTAAATTAATTAAATTTGATTAAATTTTTAAAGTATTTAATTATTTATTTTTAACTTTAATTATTATTTTAAATATCACTTGTAGATCAAAAAGAGCAGCATGGAGGTATGCTCAAGATCGTGCAGGTGTAGCAGCAAGATGGACATGGTTGCAAGCACAAATATCGGATTTGGAATATAGGATTAGACAGCATAATGAATTACAACGGCATATTAGAGCTAATAAAGGATTAGTGATACTTGATAATGCAGAAACAGTGAATGGCTATAGTGGTGTTTTACCAGGTTCTACAGGACGTTATAATTCACCTGAAAGTGAATTACCAGCTAGTAGAACTCGGCCATTTGTGTGGAGTTTTTATAGGAAAAGAAAATTATTACAATTAGATAAATTACATGAAGTCTCGAAACGTGCTGCAAAAGCATCAACAGTAAGATGCAATTGTGATCATGTATTACCACCATGTGCTTTATGTACTGGAAGATTAGATCCAATGCAACCACAAGAACCAATTGAACAAATGTCTGTACAAGAAAGAGTTGCACTTGTTGATCCTAGTTTTCATCCTGTTTTGTCATTTCCTGATGGTAAATAAAAATATATATATATATATATATGTTTTATTTATATATTTTATTAAGAAGCTTTAATTTTTTAATATCAGCTTATAATGTAATTGATTTTTTTAATATTTTATTCTGCAGAAATTACACAGGGAACTCATCTTGAAGCCATTATGAAATCAGTGGAATGGCAACAAAAAATGTTAAGAGGAAACTTACGAATTACGCGTTTAAAAGATAAAGATATTAATGAAAGAAGAAATAAAAAACTTCCAGGACATAGAAAATATGCAGCTCGATTAAAAAAATCATCTTCAAGTATTCTTACTGCAAGTATGTAATTGTCAATATTATGAAAATATTATATATATATAATTATATATTGAACATTTTATTACTATATTTTGTTATTATTTGTGTATTTATATTTGTATTCATTTATAAATAGGAGTTGAATGAAATTATTAAAATTTTCATTATGAAAATTATGAAATATGAAATAACTGTAATTTTATAAGTATATAATCTTTTCTATTCAGAAAAAATTGTTATTAAATGGCAGTATATTAACTTTTAATTAACTATTAAATTTTTATTTCATATATCTTTACATAAATAAAGAATTTTAACGTTTTTGAAAGTAGAAAAAAATTCTAGTTAAATAAGAATATTTATGCTTTTAAAAAACTTAAAATTATGATATGTAAATTTCTTGGAAATATTGAGATGTAAATAGATCTGAAGTTGAAAAAAAATTGTTCAATAAAATTCTATTTATATATAAACATTTGTAAGGAAAATAAAAAAGTTTGAAAAATTATATTTTTTTTTAAAATTGATAAAAAAAATGTATATTTTTAAAAGAGAGATCACAAAATACACAATTATTTGCAGTAATTATTTTGTTCTTGCATAAAATAACGAAAATAATTAGATAATTGATATATTGTCATCTAATATCCTTAAATAAATATAATTTAAAAAGATATTCTTAATTTTGTATTTTAAATATTTGTTTAAAAATATATCTAATCTTCAAAACTTTATTATTATTAAATATATAACAATTATATAACTATTAAACATAAAACAATTATTCAAATTAATAATTCTTATAATAGAATTAAATATTAATAATAAAATATTAATGTATAAAGTTAATTTAAAAAGAAATGATTTAAAAGTTTGATAAATAATTAATTTATTTATAAAAATTAATTGTTTTATTTGATCTCTCTTTATTATAATAAATTATTTATTATTTATTAATATTATTATCATTAATTTTGTTTTTATAGGAATTAAAAAGAAAATGTTGAAAGGAAAAAGAAATAGACTTGGTCATGATAGAAGTGTTCATGGTTTAAGTAGAAAAAGGATGCAAAAATTAACAACTGAAGATGATGATGATATTAGTGCACTTTCCAGCTCTAGTAAGCATTCATTTCCAGTGTCTTCTCCTTTACATCATACTATTGCTTCTACTACAGAAAAGAATACAATTAAAGAAAAGAATTCTCATGGGTTAGTAATTATATTAATAAAAATATTATAAAATTTAATAAAATTATATATAAATATATAATTAAAATTATTACTGTATTACTAAATATTTTATTACAGACGCTTGAGGCAAAATTCGTACGATATTGATAATATAGTTATACCTTATAGTGTAGCTGCTTCAACTAGGCTTGAAAAGTTACAATATAAAGAAATATTAACACCAAAGTAAGTAATGTTTTAATTAGAAATGAAATATTCGAAACCTCGAAATTCTCAAAAATTCAAAAAGTTTCGAATTTGAATTTCTCAACTTATTCTTATTTTTATAATTGGTAACTTTCAAAATCCAGATAAATAATAATTCAAATAAATAACTTAGAAAAATTATACGATAAATCAAAATTATTTTCGATCTATCTCTAATCTTAATGAATAATTTTCTATAATATTTTAGTGAATAATTATTAATATTAGAATTTTCCTTTTTTCATCAAAATAGGTGGAGGTTATGTGAAGAACCTTCAAAATTGGATATTAAAAATGGTGTTATGCATAGGCCTAGTCAAGACAGTGATGTAAGTATGTTTTAATTATATAAATATAAAAATTTTATAAAAAAAATCTTATTTTATAATAAAATTAAAAATAACTATATATCTTATCTAGTTCGAAGATATGTCGGACGAAACTATTGCTTTAAGACATGAACGAAGTGAACGGGAAGAAAATAAACGTTTTATGACATACATGAATATGCCACATCAATCACGTATTCGGCATAATCGTAGAACAGATAGTCGAGCAGATAGTGGTGCGAATACACCAGGTAATTCTAATTTATAATTTACTAATTTTTTTTTGATAAAAGAGTTAGATAAAAAAAATAAAAAAAATAAAATTAAGATATAAAGATTATATAGATGATATGAGTATATAAATTATAAATTATTTCTTAATTATTAGATCCTATGTCTCCACATGCAAGTGATTTTGGTGGAGATATGATGTCACCAATTACATCACCTCCTGCAACTCCTCAAGTTCAAGATTCAGAACATCAACATAATTCGGATAATATGCATCGATCATCTGCTTTACAAAATGCTATACGACGTCGTGCTACACCTACGTTAAGAATAGGAAAGGACGACACTAATGTTTCAATAAATGAGGATGAAAATGAGGTATTACATTTTGATTTGATTTATTTGAATTATTAATAAAAAAATGCAACATAAAATATTTTAAGAAAATTATGTATAATTTTTTATTAAAAATTATGTATAATTTTTTATTAAAAATTATATATAATTTTTTTTACTAGATTTTGCCATATGAACCAAGAGTATTTCCATTATCTGAAGAAGTTTATGATAAAATGCTGGAAGTAATGCCAGATGGTCATTGGCAACCTTCGTCAGCATCTCTTTGTTCCCGTGATGAAGAAAAAGCAGATGATGTACGTACACTGTGTTTATATTAAATGTTTAAGTGTTAATTATCTAAGTCAGAATTTTTTATTACAAAAAGAAAAAAAGAATATCTGAATGGTCGTACTGATTATTAATACAAACTTTGAGCCAACTTTCATGGCTCCTCGAGGCTATCTCTGGTAAGCAGTGTCATTTGATGCTTCCTATTTTAAACACGATTGATTTTATTTTAGCAATATTTAAGAGAAACTGCATTGCATTTGTACATGAGTTTTATAAGCATTAGAATATTTTGATGAATTAGCTCGCTGATTGTTTTTTTCAGCTGTTACAAGCTTGTACATTTAAATATAGTTTTTGTAATATACGCAGAATAATCGTTGAAAAAAAATAGTTTTTCATAAATATTTAGATAGGCGTTAATATTTCGTTTCTAGGATGGGGAAATGGATTCTCCAGAATCAGATTCGACAGAATCAGCTTGTTGTGACATAGAGGGTGAGGATCCCAATGATCCTGAATGGACAGTAGGTGACGATAGGGATACTGAAAAGGAACGAATACGTCCGACGGCTAAGAGATAGGATAAAACCTTTAATACATACAGTATGTCTACGTCGTTACTATATGCAGAAGCTACCTGTCAATTGTTATATATACCTGTCGGTCATGTAACATGCACCTTAAGTTAATGGTATTATGAATCTGTAAAGTGTATTATAAATATAAATTTTATAACTTCATTCTGCTTAAATTAATGGGAAACCTTAATGATTGCTTTTTAAGTATTTCTATTTCGGCCAAAGTATTAGAATTGTATGGATTAACATCCTTTTATTTAGGATAAGGATATTGTTATATTTTTCTTTCACTGTTATAACTGATAAAACGGGACATAGTCCTTCAAAAGTTAGAATCTCATATGAACTGAATTAGGCAATTTTATATTAAAAAAAATAAAAATAAAAAGTGTATTTATATTATAATCAAACTTTTTCGTTAAATAAAAGTGCCAACTGAAATGTTCTGTAGCATTATCCTTCGATGTTGCATATTTTTTCTAGTTGCGACGATGTTCATTGTATAATAATTGAAAATATTCAGCTATTATGAACACATATAATAATGTATGTAGTTTTATATTGTGTACATCGTTATATCTATATATTTAATTTCTTTTATGTTGTTCATTTCTTCAAATGATTTCACAATTTTTACATCTCATATAACAGTCAAAAACAGTTCATTTATAAAATTTAAAAATATGCATATAATAATTTACATTTTTACTTTTGTGTAATCTGCAGGTAAGAACATGGAATTACAGAAGGATAATATACCTAGTACATTTTAGTTCTTATAGAAAAATTAAATACTGAAAATGAATTATACATAATATTTTGTTAGCAAGAAATAATTGTATTCTGTATTTTGACTGTTATGTTCTAATTATTTATAATTTATAAAGCATGAATTCATGTTTATTTAAGTAACAAGTTATGTTTTCAAAATCTCATGTCGCTGTGATTTCATAATTTTCTAATAATCTGTGATATTACATGTAATTTCTTTCTTATCACATATTTTATATTTAGTCACAAACATACCTATATTTAAAAGTCATGCGCTTAGATTTTGTACATCACATTTTGAATGAAATAAACAGGTAATAATAGAACATGTTTCTTATTCATTACTTGTGTTAAGTAATATCACGAATCAAAATGTTAAATAAAATTTTAAATAAAGTTAATATATGAAATAAATATAATGAAGACGAACG